AGACGCTGATCTGTTCCTAACCTGGTCCTTCAGATCTTCAAATGATCCACTCACCTCTGCTGTAACTTTGCCTATCCACCTTGCTGCTGTTTGTCTTCTCTTTCTTTCCACTTTTTTCCCAGCTTTAAAGCCTCCTTCAGAAGCCCAGCTATTCACATAATGAGGACCCGGATTGTTGTTGGGGGCAATATGCTGACTCTGTAAACCGCTTAGAGAGGGCCGAAAGCCCTATGAAGCGGTATATAAGTCTACTGCTATTGCTATTGCTATTGCTATAATGTTTCTGAAATAAGATAATTTGAGGCTGGTCATTTGTGCTTCAAGTGAGATCTCTGAGTTGATTTTTTTTCATGATCCATTCGCTTGCTTGTTTTCCTAACCACATTACTCTCAGGTGTTTTCAAAGGAGTCCATATTTTTTCTATCCTGTCTCACTTCCATAGAATGTTAGAGGAAATATCATTGCCTGCATTTTTCTGATTTTTATAGAAACATCCCAGCCTCTGCACATTTTTACACGGCTTTCATGATTATTTTAGTAGGTATTATATCTGTAGGATATTTCTTGACTGCTTCTTCTTTACTGCCAATGGATGTTCCTAAAAGGCAGAATCACACAGTCTCAATGTATTTTAGGGTAGGATATAATTGTGCTACATGACAATACTATAAATTCCCAGACGAATAGACAATTCCTCAATTAATTAAAATATCAGGGACCCATAAAAGAGGTTATCTGGCCATCTCACCAAGTTCAATAGGCTAGATTGTCTCCATAAAAATTGGACTATGCTATGAGCCAGGGTGGCTCAATGGTTAGAATGCAGTGCTGCAGGCCACTTCTGCTGACTGCTGTCTGCCCATAGTTTGGAGTTCAATTCCAATGGGGTTCAAGGTTGACTCAACCTTTCATCTGAGGACCCAAATTGTTGAGGGAAATATGCTGACTCTGTAAACCGCTTAGAGAGGGCTGTAAAGCACTGTGAATCAATATATAAGTCTAACTGCTATTGTGATTGCGATGATGGGAATGAAGTAGTGTATGTAGAGTTGATGGGATGTTGTTATGTCACTTCTTTTACAAATGATATCAATGTTTTATTGCTATTTCAAAGTAATTTAAAATTCTTTGGGTCTATTTTCCAAGGGGTGAGAAATTAATATCATTATAAGATATTAATGAGCATTTAACTGTGGAGATAGTCTGTGTATATATATATGAGTCTTTTTTAATGCACTTTTTTCTTTTTAATGTCTTGTTTGGATTTTTTCTTCTTCGTTTCTTTAAATTTTTTGGTGTTTTGTATCACTTTTGAATAAAATTAAAATCAATTTTTAAAAAATCAATAAGTTTCTATTCTCAAACATTAAGAACCGTGATGGCACAGTGGTTAGAGTGCAATACTGCAGGAGACTTCTGCTGATTGCCAGCTGACTTTGGCAGTTCAAATCTCACCAGGCTCAAGGTTGACTCAGCCTTTCGAGGTCAGTAAAAGGAGGACCCAGATTGTTCTTGAGGGCAAGAGGCTGACTCTGTAAACCCCTTAGGAGACGGCTGTAAAGCACCATGAAGCAGTATATAAGTCTAAGTGCTATTGCTATTGAACTGCCTTTGCTCCCGCCCTGTGAGAGACATCTTCCCATAAAGGTGAGACCTCTCCTGGCTTTACAAAAAGGTGTGTAAAAACATGACTCGGTGCCCTTGCTTGGAGCACCAGATGTGCATGCAGCTGTGGAAACCCCTCCCCCACCTTTTAATTAATTTTAACATTCATTGATCTTTTTAAATTTTATATATTGTTTTTATGCTGTATTGTACATCATCCAGAGTCTGACTGTGAGAAAGATAGGCAGTTCTTAAATTTGATAAATAAATAAGTAAACACACATTTAATGTAAACACATATTATCTTTGGAAGTAAGGGAGTTGAGAAGAGATAACCCTATAAAGTTTAGAGTCTCATTGTTAATAGATAATTTTTAGTCATGGTAAATCAGTCTGTCAATTCATTGACAGTAGCCAATTCCCAGTTGTTCCTCTTTGGTAAAAGAAGGGAAGATCGAATCTTTGTCAAGCTTTCAAGAGTCTGTTATTATATTTCTTAACAATAAAATGGAGTTCCGGGAGTCCTTGCAGAGTCTTGTTATCTGACTTGGTCTTCTTGAAAGGTCTGAGGTCAGCCTAGAGTTATTTATTTGAAGTTAATACTAGCAAGGAAGGGCCAAGGACCATACAGATATCTGAAATATTATGTATATCTGCTTTTACCAAGACTGACTAATTTGAAATTGTGCTTTATTATCATGACATAAATTGCTAATACTGAGCAAAAAGTTGTAAATGATGTTTTAAAATTAATGAATTATTCTGTGCTATCTGATTAAATTATAATTAGTGGCATGATTTACCATAAAATTATAACTTGTTGCTACAGCATATTAATGTGAATTTTTATATTTTCCTTTTGGTTGGTCACAAAAGAGCTTGAGAGCCATACTCCTTTCAATTACACCATTTCCCCTAGAAACTTAAACAGCTTCAGATGCAGATTTGAAGGCTTCATTACCATAACATTAGCAAAGAGAGGGGCAAAGTGATTAGGTGATGTTGGTGGCCTAGAGAGAAAATATCAATTCATTCCACTTTTAAAATGGATATTAATGAAGTTCAAAAAGCCTCATTTGTCAGTCTGGAAAGATTAGAAAATAAATATCTTTTTCATTAAACATGGACAAAACCTCAACCAGCATTTTTTAAACCGTTATTTTAATCATTTCTAAACAAATTGACTGCCTTATAATTCCCATAATATTTAGATATTAATTTCCCCACAAAAAAGCTGAATTGTTTTAATGCACCTTCCAATTTATTCAATGTTATGTGAAATGAGTGTTCTGAATGTCCCATGTGCATTCTATGTCCCTCTCTTTATACTTGATATTGAACAGAAAGAATCTTTGTAGAATTAAACATTTCAATTCCTTATATCACTGAAAATGCCGTGTCGGAAAGAAGGCTGAGAAAATATTTACAAAACCCTCACATCCTGGACATAATCTCTTTCAACTTCTTCCCTCAGGACGTCTCTGTAGAGCATCGTGTGGCAAAACCACCAGACATAAAGATATCCCACCCCCCATGTCATCACCCTACTGAACACTTCATACCCCTTTTGCACTGCCTCCTTTCTCATCTTTTCTACTACTTTTTATTGTTTTTTTTTAGGATTTATCCATTGTTGTTTGTAACTTATGATTAATGATTTTAACTATGATTATGACCTATTATTTGCTGTTTATATGTACACTGAGACCTTATGCACCGGAGACCAATCCCTTGTGTGTTCTATCACACTTGGCCAATAAAAAATTCTATTCTATTCTACCCTATCCTATCTTGTTATAAAGGGATAAATCAAAGCACCAGGATTCTAATTAATTGCCAGTTTATACACACTAATTTATTTGATGATATAAAGATAGTTTTCCCAGATGGTCATTGTCCATATGCACGTATTCAAATGCCAGTTTTATTTCATTTTTAATTCTTTTTGGGTGTGCATTTTTTTATGAATCCCTCTTTCTTTTTGTAAGAATATAGATCTTATAGATGGCTCACTTGGGGCCTTTCCTCATTATTGTACTGTCTCATAGTTTATATTACACTGATGTTTTCATTTCCAATAACACAGGTTGCCATCTTTGCCTAACTTAATGTGGAGTTTCCTCTCTCTGTCTTGAGAAAAAGAGGCCTGATATTAGGAAATACATCAAATGTCTTCATCCAGAAGCCCCATTTATGCTTTGTCTGTTTAATTAAATGACAACATTTTGCAGAAAGGCAGCAATCATACCAGTACTAGGCAACTTCCAAAAAGAAGCTAATATTTCAATATATATGCAGGGATTCAGGCAATTATAGTCAGAATAGATTTTAAGAACCTCAAGGTATCCCGGATCTAAGTCTGGATGTTATTTTAAGAAGTGTAACAACACATAGTCAGTTGAAATACTTAAGAGACAGGGTTATGGACATGAATATGCCTGGATTGCCTATATCTTAAAGGCAAATCTGAAATCTGAACATTGCTGGTTGACCAGTGATGAGATGGGTCTGGGATGGTGAATCTATGGCATGGGTGCCACAGGTGTTACGCAGAGCCATTTGCAAAAAAAGTATGCAAAAAATGAGGGGAGCGCCTGCTATGCGCACATGTGCACTGGGGGGTCACACATTGCATTATGGGTGCGGCACACCCACACACGACCCCCCCTGTGCTCCACCCTCCCACTTACGGCACGCGAGCCAAAAAAGGTTTGCCATTGCTGAGATAGGTTATCAAATTTGGGCTGATATGTTAACTGGGACTTTTCACGAATAAAAAAACCAGTTTCTTCTGTAACAAGAGTGTACAGTTTGCAGTCGTATACTCTGTGTGATTAAGGGAGGATACCTGGCTAGCACTTGCTGCCAATTGAATGGCACCTGTAATATTATAAATATTATCATAAGTGCTTATTGCTTTTGCTACTAACCAGTCATTCAAAGTGAAATTTTATTTTGAAATAAAGGATTAAGTATAGGTAAGGGAAAAATACACACACACACACACTTGGTATAAAGTAGCTTGTCTTGAATCTTCTACTTAGGTATTTACTATTTTTCCTGCTCTATAATTAAGTGTGAAAACAGTTTGAAGCTGGATTGTCTTACAGAAGAAATGGCTTTGAAACATTGTTTATTTGTTTGTTTTTGCTGTGTAGGAGCTAAGAATGTTTTTCATATTTTTAATTTTTCATCTCTTCCTTGGTGACGAATAATACACTTACGCTTTATAATTGTTGTGGTTTGATCCTCAAGGTAATCTTCATTCCAGTGATAAAGTTGAATATTGAATTTCTGACACATATAGTGAGAATGCAGCTTTTTGATGTGCATTAGTTTGCTCTCTGGGGCCGGTTCTTTGGTATAAAGTAGCTGTTATTTATCACACTGACAGGTGCAACTACTGCGAAATGCTGGCGATGAAGTTGCCATCACCGTTCAATACCTCAGGGAAGTACCGTCATTTCTAAAGCTCCCATTGGGTAAGGGGAAATTAACAGGTATCTGTGAAATGTTTTCTGGTGCCATATTCCTCATAACAAATGGACACTTCTTCATACCTAATACATCTTTCATGAGTACTTTATTTCAGGAAAACCTGTAGATCAAAATGCTGTATTATTTAAAATTTGTCTTTGCTCCCTTCATATTTCTTTATTTATTTATAGCAATTTGTAAACTGCCAACTGACTAGGATGAGGCTGGCTGGACTGATATTCTGTACAGGTAGTTCTTGAGTTACGACTCCAATTGAGCCCAAAATTTCTGTTGTTAAGTGGGACATATTTGTTAAGTGAGTTTTGCCCCATTTTACGACCTTTCTTGCCACAATTCCTAAGTGAATCTCTGCAGTTGTTAAGTTAGTAGCCCGGTTGTTAAATGAATCTGGCTTCCCTGTTGACTTTGCTTGTCAGAAGATTGCAAAAAGGGGATCGCATGATCCCAGGACGTTTGTCCTGAATATGAACCAGTTGTCAAGCTTCTGAATTTTGATCCCATGATTTAGATTTAGATTTATTTTATTTGTATGCCGCCCTTCTCCGGGAGGGACTCAGAGCGGTGAACAACTCAAGAGG